AAAAAAAGAATTACTACTATGTAAAAGGAGCGGTTACGTGTGCACAGAGTTTATACACAAAGAACTAACAGAGCCAGTAATTCCTGCTAAATCAGTTCTTTTCTGAGTGCACAGCCAGCTGCCTTTGTCTTGCCAAAATGAGCGGAGAAAATGATATGCCCACAATGTTTGCTAAAGGTGTAATGCAATTATTAGCAGAAAAAAAAATCCATTTCACTTCAGCAAATCTCATAAAACAGCAGATACACTCGTGGGTCATCGCCTGTATTTTCTCATTCAATTTATAAAAGTGCAATTTTTTCTTTCTCTGGCTTTATCAGTTATATTATCTCCTTACATGAAATCACTCGCTGCTCTGAGAGCACCGTGCAGGCCATGTGCAGATCGATCTTAATTACATTACATTTAATATCTAAGCAAAGAAAAGCAAACAATATTACCAAAAAACACCAGGAAAAGCATTTTTTCTGCAGAACTCTTGCATTTCAAGAACTGCTGCCACTCATTCACAGCCTCACGGTAGGAATAGCTGTGCGCTCTAAAATTGCTCCCATCTGTCCTGCAGGAGGATCATCACTTTAGGACTGCGCACCCTCTGGTGGGCTGAACTGAGCACACAATGAGCCCCCCTCGCTGTGTTCGAGGTCATCCGCCCCATGGAGCTGCGGTGTCTTCTTCTCATTTGTCATTTTTTGTGCACCCATCACTTTGGCAGGCGCCTCATAGCTTAAGGCCACACACATCATTTCTTAAAAAGACAAAAAAAGGGCCCTTTATATCCTAATCAGCCTGCGCTCAGCAGGAGGTGTGGACAAGATGAGGCGTCTTGTCCACCTAAAGCATTCTGCAGCTGTGTTATGACACCCCTGCATTTGTAAGTAAAATAGTACACCATATGATTTACACACCATGCTGTGGTTTTCAATGTATTTTTGCAGGAATGTAATAAAATTATGTAAAAGTATTTTGGTTTATAACAAGGCGTTTCAGCCTGGCACAAGAATAAAGGAATTTAACATTTATGTATCTTTAATAGCTGAGGATATTATTAGGTGCCTACAGCGGCAAGAAAACACGGAAGAGAGATTTAAATTTAATGAGGCTTATGGGAAGGCAACACGAGAGGGTTTGGTAATATTGCGGATTTTAATCATGATGTGGTTCTGTGGGCAGCAGAAAAGCAAAGACATGCAGGCTAATAAGTTCTTTTTTATAGCAGGTTTACTACTTATAAAGGTACTTACCTGGAAATTGGATTCTGGAAGGTTTTTACCCACTTTTTTTCCACCCAGCCTCGGCAGAAAGGCAACCCAAGAAAACACTCGCGTGCGGGTCTTTAGAAATAAAGAAGGTATTTGAAAACAAACAGAAAAAGCCCATTGTTTTTAAAAAGTACTACTTCAGTGTGTCCGTATATGAAGGGGCTGGAAACGCGAGAAAGTTCCTCAGCGGTGCGCGTGGAACTTCCCAAATCTCGAGCCGAATCCAGATGCGGCTGATGTTGGTTCTTCTAATTAAACGCAACGCGACGGCCGCACTTGTTGACTATAACTGCGAAGAAGGAGGAGGTGGTGTCCCAGCGAGGGTCTTGAGGAGCCACACCGCTCGGACTCGTCACGCGCCTCTCCCTCTGTCGCTCTGAATCTCAGTGATCCGCGCGCGCCTGGCGCCAGAAGGAGTCCCGGCTGCGCGTGGATTGGACTACTGTTCTGTTGGCAGCTCTCTCCTCGCTCCCTCGCTCCCCCACCTCCTCCTTGTCTCCCTGCCCGCCTGCACCTCCCCTCAGCTATGCCTCCCCCGTCTCCCCTTTAAGCAAATTAGCCACAAAAAAACCAGGAACCAGTCCGTCTGAAAATGGCACCAATAGTAACCGTTCTTTGGCGATGCACTATCTGCGGTAACTTAAGCCATCACAATCACTTTAATCATGCTTGTCTTGTTGAAGTCCGTGATTTTTTTTTTCTTAAAGTCATAATTAGTCAAAGACATAAAATTGATCCCGTAACCCCCCGCCCAGCCACCACCTCGAGGCCGATTGCTCATGTCTGACTGAGAGGTGCTGTATTGATTATTTCAAACACCCCAAGGGATTTTAGGCTGCACAGCAGTGGATCAAGATGTCAGCTTTGAGGTCTGCACACTCCGCTGGTAAGTGCTTTATTCAAGCGGCGGGGGCTTATTCCTCATTCACAAACTGCATAGAAAGTACAGTGTGCAGGTTTTGTCTTTTTTTCATGCATTTAATGCAACCCCACTTTCTGTTTCACTCACGCACCATGCATCTCTGCATCAGCGCAGGGTAAATATGAACACTTGCCTTATATTAGCTCATAACCATGCGTTTAGTAATGTTTCTATGACCACACAAAGATGGAAAATAAATAATGAAATAAGAATTTTCCACCAGTGCATCTCTTTTACAGTATGTGGAATGTGTTTCTCTTTTTTCTTATGGTTCACATTTGTTTCATACAGTTATGCTGCATGAGAAAAATGCATAAAGGGGCAACTTCCTAACTATATCAAAGGATAATTTATACAAGACATTTAAACATTTGCTATCGGTTTTATCATGGCTGTTTTCCATATGTGTGACATTCAGCATTTGTTAGTAATTTTATGTGTATAACTAACAAGCATCAATATCAGTCATAAGGTCAGCTCTCATGTGACCTTAACAGATCGATGAACACATGTGCAGACATAAAATGAAGGCTTGGGCGTTATGTGTGTGTGTGTGTTTTCTCCATAGCACAGCAGTTTTAAATGGTCTTTGACAGCTGCTCGTGAAATGTGCGAATGTTACAATTTAGTGCAGGTTATAAAAAAACAAAGTGCCATGTAAATCTTCCAGATAACCTTGGCAAGAAGGAGAAGAATCTGCAAATATGTGCAGAGAGGCAGCCAAACGAAGCGCTTCAATTCCAATTCTACTCCCCATCATGTAATTCAAATGTAGGTCAGCCTGTCCCAGTGTTCCAGGTGTCATTTGAGCTACGAATAAGTGCAAGTTTTTCATGGAGCCCAGTCCCATCACAGTCTCAGACCTCATGCTGTGGCGGCTGGTATAATGAACTGTGCTATATGTGGCGCTTATGTACCGAACTAATCCAATCTCACGTGGGACCATATGGATGTTATGGAGAATTTCCTTGGAGAATTTCTAAGTTTTCAGTTTACAAGATAATTGCCTCTGTGGTTGTCTCATTAAGACCTCACAGTGAGTTACAAGAGATTCATGCCAATTAACAACACTAAATAGTAACATGTAGAAGCTGCACTAATCCATACTTCTGTATTAGCAATAGGTTATTATGTGAAAACGGTCAACTCAGTAAGAAGCTCACAGAGAATTATCAACAATTTCTGAAGTTCCTCTCAGCATGTGTAGAGAGCTTTCTGTCTTTTCTCTTTGTGAAGCTTTAGTGGATTCTTTTTGCTAAAAAAATTATCTTTTTTTTATTGTGTCTTTGACAGCAGTGACAGCGGGTTCTCTCTGGGTATTCCAACTTTCTCTCACAGTCCAAAAACAAGCTTGTTAGGTTACTTGGTGGTTCTACATTGGCCCTATGTGTGAATGTGAATTTGCTCCAGGCCCAACAAACCCTAAACTGGATAAGTTGATAAGTGGATGGATGATAAACAGTAATATCATTACGACATTATGCATATGTACTGAGATTTTGGAGAAATTAACTCGAAAAGTTGCATGTTAGAAGGAAAATCCCTGAATTAGTCAGACATTGGGTATAAAATCAGTGTTAACATAGAATCAGTGTAATTGAGCCTGGATGTGAGTACAGGTAGTGTCGGTTCTAGAGTGTGCTGGTGTCCTAAGCAAAATTTCACAGGGGGCTTCTCCAAAAAGTATTCATCACCATATTTAAAATTAGACTATCATTTGGTTATTTAGCATCATTATCTACTCGACTTAACGATGCTTTGCTTTTTTCCCCTTCCCATTCTCTTTTTCATTCCCATAAGGATAACTCTTCTTCATTTTTACCAAGTGCTTTTCATTGGTGTCATCGGTTTGTTTAAACAGATTCATACGGTGGCGTCAGGCGGTGGCCTTTTAGTGGGGTTTTGGTTTCTTCTAGTGTCACTGCTGATTTTGATATCTTGGGGAACCCCCACTGGCCGGACGTCCCAAGCAGTTGCCCGGCTTGCCTAGTGGAAAGCAGTGCCTCTGAATACAGCATGTAATCTACCACAGAATTCACAGCTAGCAAGTGTCCAAGCAGATCCAGCCCTGTCCCCCGAAATGGCATGCCTCCACACCTAAACTTTATTTGCAGTGTCTTGGGGGGGGGAAATGTATTTTCTTGTGTGCGGTTAGCTCTGTTGCACAGAAAGAAGGTTCAGAGTTCAATTCCACCATCAGGCCGGGTCATTCTGTGGTGGAGTTTGAGTGTTGACCCGTGTTTGTGTGGGTTCTCTCCAGTTACTCTGGCTTCCTCCCACAGTCCAAAGACGTGCCGTTAGTGGGGACAGGTTAACTGCCCATAGGTGTGAGTGTGAATGGTTGTCTGTGTCTATGTGTTAGAGCGACAGACGACCTGTCCAGGGTGTACCCTGCCTCTCGCACTAAGACAGCTGCCGCTAACCCTGCCTCTCGCAGGGTTATTTTTTCTGTGAAATATATTCCTAATCACTAAATCTTTGCTCAAGTAACCGCGAAAAAGCAGGACATGCTTTAAGCACATTGATATTACATGCAATGGTTTATTTTACGCAAAATATGATCCTTTGCTAAATCTTATTTTTAAAAA